AGGAGCGCAGGGAAGTGATGAAAGGCCTCCGGAGCAAGACCCGCTCGGGACTCACCAAGGATCGATCAGTAACAAAGCCGATTCGGTGGGAGAGAATGAAGGAAGTGGGAGGTGGAGGAATGCTTGCTTTATCATTGGATACTTGTTGTGTCCGGTCATGAATCAGAAAGTGAGAGTTTCAAGAACGTCGAACCAGAACAAGATCATTGAAGAAGAGGATTTGCCTTGGAGAGGAGTCACAGGCTTGACCCATGCCCATATATTACCTGTGATCTAGTTCCATAAATATCTTAGCTCATTCAGATCTCCGGCTTGACGTCAGGAAATGAGCTGGGCGGTGTTCTGGGGTGACCAACAGATGTTCGGAGTTTGTATGTTCAAATGCTTACCTCGTCTTCCAAGTTGTTTGTATACTCTGAGATATTCTGAGCTGTTGAGTCTTCCAAGTGCAAGATCTCGGAAGTGGGCCAGCAAGGCCTTTCCCTTGTCAAATCTGAGATATTCTGAGCGAGCATGTTGGAGAGTAAAGAACTCGTTTGTTGTTCCACGAGAAACGGTGCGACAAAGGTTGAGAATCCATATGTTCGGCACTTGCCAATGTTCATGAGCTCAACTATGCCAAACATTTGGATCTCACACTGACCGAACAACAAGTTCAGAATGTAAACTTCCATGGGAAAAGACTGATAGAAAATATAGAAGGAATATGTGTGAGTCATCACCTGTGAGCCCCAAAAATTCAAACAAAAACCCTGCTATGTTGCAGCTTCCTTTGGGTTTTCGCGCCGCTGCATAATATCACTCTTGTTTTCAAGCCAGTGGCACCCTTCAAACCAGTGGCACCCACAAGTTGCCAATGCCACTTTTGGTTGATCAGTAGATAGTCTGCAGCGCATGGCCTCCAACCTAATACCGATAGCCTCCAACCCAATAGCAATTGCCTCTAACCTAATGTTTCTGCAACGCATGCTGTCAATGAGTAGATTTGAAAGTTGGAATGGTCCCCGGGATGATGTCCATTTGCAGCGCACTAAGTAAAGTAAAGTCTGCCCAAGGCCACATCAACGTGCAGCTCAGCACATTGTGTTCATCACAGGTGTTGGATAGTCATGGCTACGTTCCCCGCATCCTAAGCATTATGCCAATTAGTATTGTTGTGGTGTTTTGTATGCAAAAGTCCAAGCAACCAATCGCCGGCTTTAGTAGGCTCATGTAGGCTCTAGTGGCATGCTCCTACGAACCTGCAAGTAACTGCCAAGTACTTGAAGGGTTGTTGCACCAGGTGTTGGAATCTCCTCAGCGCGTTGCTTCCGCTTGCTTCCTCCAGGATGACTTGATGACAAACAAGTACCACCGCCTCTATTGTCGTCCACTCCCGTGTGCTCACTCCATGCGAACGCCCCCTCTGGGGTTCAGCGTTCGCATGGTTCGGAAGCGATGTTTGTGAAACTGAGAGTGGCCATCGCTACTAGGAGCAAAGGGCATTCCTCCTGGCCTTGCTACTAGGAGCAAGAAGCTACTAGGAACAAAGGGTACTGCCATGAGAATCACTCGGATGAGCTTGGGGAAACGGAAAGATGAGAAGGAGGAACATGCCACGGGTGTGAATAGGACCCATGTGACCCCTGTTTCTCAGGAGGAGCAATATTGAGAACTCCTTCATTTTCATTCATGCAACATTGATATGGATATTGTTTGGTGGGAGATGCCTCCAAAGACTCATTGTCCAATTCCAACAGGCAAATGTTTCAACAAATCGTGTACCCCTGACCAAAGACCTGTGCTCTTTTCAGCCAAAATAAAGAGACCTGAGTACAGCAGAGAATCAGAATCAGAGCTGTTACAACAATACAAAAAGGCAAGCGGGGAAACCACGCACTCGCAGAAACGCATCCGTCCTTCGTGGAACGATCCGTCCTTCGTGGCCAGGCGTGGAAGGATTGTGTCGAAGAAGAGACATGTGCGGGGCCTGAAGCCTGGCTGCATGAGGCTTTGGACCCTTCTCGTTACGGACATGAGCAAATCCCAGCAACGAGCCTACAGTCTTCCTGTCTGCAACCCTTCGTCTTCCTGCTTTTGAGGTGTTTTGTTTGCTTTGCAGCCTTGTTGCTTCAGGAGATTATATGAAGAAAACCTTCGGAACTGGATCAAAGCAGTGCATGATGCGAGGCCCGTAGGGAATTCATTGGGCGTCAAGTTGTTGGATCTCTCTAGCCCTATTCTGAAACAGAGAAGCTATGTTGATTCGTGCAGACAGAACAGATTCTACACAAAAAAGAAACTGTGTTGTGTTGTGGAAATCCTCAAATGAATAAGGATTCTTTCTCCTGAAAAAGCTTTGCTGTTCAAACATCCTCTTCAGGGTCTCCGAGTCGACCAGGTCGCACCAGGTCCGAACAACCTGACTCGGTCGTGCCAAAGCTCGCTCCGTTGGCAGGTCCGAACTCCACACCTCAGGCTTCGTGGCGGTCAATGGCAGGTCACCGGGTCCGGTCACCGGAAAGCGAGCTTTAAAAAAACACTTCACCGTGTCCCAGAAAACCTATGTATATTAATATAGCTCTTCAAATTGAAAATGCAAACTTTGAAAAGCTATGCTTTATTGCACAAGAGCTGCGAGTTCCTTCTTTTTTGCAAACCTGGCTCTGGGACACTTGTGATCCTAAGATCGCATGATAGCTCCTCACCTCATGACGAAGCTCCTCACCTCGTAATTATTGTGCATCACTTGAATGTCTTTTCTGACCTCCAACGCCCTCGGTGGAGATGTTCCCTTCTGGCCCACCAGATCTGGGGGAAAGGCGAGATCGCCTTGCCGCGAGGAGCGAGGCGGGAAAGGCGTTGTACGACAAGGCCAAGCAGATCTACGAGTCGTCGGAGAGTGAGACGCTCGTTCAGCAGATGGAGATGGAAAAGCATCCAAACGCTCCTAGTAGTACGGCCAGGAGCCCCTAATAGCTTTTTTTACTAGTAGCGATGCCAGGAGCCCCTAGTTGCGTCCTTGCTCCTAGATGGAAAAACACCCGAGGCAGAGACCGATAGCGAGGATGCGATAGCGATCTGGAATAGCGAGAACCGAGGGTGGTGGCATGGATCTTAATCAAAACGTCCCTCATTCCAAGTGTGCCAGTACAGTCTGCTGCCCTTCTTTCTACCCAAGGTTGTTAATGTGTCTATGAGTGTCTTGACTACTTGAAGTTAGGCCTTGACTACTTGAAGTGTTTTTGCAAGTTGGGGGTTTGGCACAGGCCCCCGGGACTTTTCCAGATGACAACTGTGGTTGTTTGTGTTCAGAATTTGTAAAGATGCCAGTGGATGAGTGTCCGTGGTGACATGGCAAGTGATTTGTCAAGAATGTTCGCACAGAAAAGGGTGACCGTTGCTTTTGTGACATAGAAGCACTGTTGATTCTCTATCTAGAGGTGCAGTGGCTTTTCTTCTTGCGGCGTGGAATTGCTTTGTTCACGTGGTTCCACTAAAGACACATGTAGGAAATAGCACACGGTGCTGATCATTCGATGTGATTGCAGGAGCTCACTCCCACATAGCTATCAATCTGTCCATGCAGCTAACCAAGTATCTATGCTGTTTTACCTTCCCTGACCCTTGATGTATTTTTCTTTGTTTGTTGATCGAGTGTTCTTTCCATCTTTGCTTTCTATCAGTCCATTTTCCCATACATCCATCCTCGCCTCTCTCTCTTCCCCCCGCAACAAAAAACAAAAGAGCCTCCCCGGAATACAGAAACAAAAAGAACTGAAAGCGAGTGCCGACTCAGGAGTGAGTGATGCGACGACTGCGCGGAGCTACTGTTGCTCCGGCTGACGGGTGGGAAGGCTTTGCAGACAGGTTCCGCTTTGATGTGGAGGAGCGATTTGTGTGTTATTTGGTTGGCTCATGCTGGCTCAAAGAGACAGTGTTAGTCGTTAATCTCAAAAAGGCAAAGGTAAACTGCTTCAGATTCCAAGGGTTTGGTTCAAGAGTTTCCTTCTCACAGGCGTTGTGCACATTTGGGTTGCATTCGCTGGTGTTGGCCATCTTGCCACGATTCGTCAATAGTTCAAAAGGTCAAACTACATGATCGGCCTTTTTGGCGAAAAGAAAATGCTGCGGCACTGCCAAGAGAATTCACGGTCAGATGCAGTTAAAGTTTGTCTAGTGGTGGTGTGGTGGTTAAATCTTGGCAGGAATGGTGTAGCAGTGAGTTGAGGGGTGAAGCAGCTGCTTGCATCTTTCCATCCACTGTTTCACGGGAACAGCTGCGAAGCACACTCACATTCCTTCCCTTGCACATAGAATCCTCCAATTCGCCGAGTTTGTTTCGTTGCCAGAGGTTTTCCAACACAAACTCGGGCGCCGCCAATTCGCAGAACGCGTTCCGTCTCGAACGGGACTCTTGCGGTGACTTAATCACTACGTGACGCTTGGCACGTGATTTGCTTGGAGAAAGTTGCTTGGATTTGGAGTAGGCAGAGACCAGCAGGGGAGCATGAAGTTTACATGTGAGGATGTCGAGGATTGGTCTTTGGTTGATGGGATCCTATCGTTTTTGAGATGGACGCAAGACGGAAGGTTATTTACCTTTATGTGCAGACTAATTCATGCTCTTTCCCACATCGGTGGATCGTTTTCTAGAGAGGAAACTTATAGCAGGCAATTCCTCATGACATCAACTTCACCAAGTCACCAAGTAGTTTCTGGAATTGATGGCCAACATGTTGTGGCGGCATTTGCTCCGTAGATCCCATAGCCACTTTGAAGGGGATGCTTTTGCATCCAAGAAGATGAGGATTGTTTGCTGGACCTGGGACCTGAAAGACAACATGTGAGTCATAACGGTCCAGATTGGTGTGGGTTTGAAGCACCATCGAATGGAAATCAAGAGTTGCTCCAGTCCCACAATAACTTGTGAGTTCCAAGGGACACTTTCACATGATCCTTGCTGATTCCGGCTTGGTTGATGATATCTATGTCCTACAACTGAGACCCTCGTTTGGTCCATTTGGGCTCAGCTCTTTCTGCGCGCCGTTGGTTGGTTCTGAGCAGAACCAATCCACGTGCTGTGCAGCCTACGTCGACCTGCTCGATGGCGAGCGACAGGCGAGTTTGGAGATTTCGAGAATACTTGAGAAGCACCATCATCACATTGAAAAAGGAAAGTAGGAGGAATGTGGCTTGTGGAATCAAAATTGGGTGTGTTTCCGGGAGAGAAATTGCGACTCCCTTGTTCCACCAACTCCAGACCGTTTACAGATTATGGTGCTAAAGACACAAATCGCCTTTGAACAAGTCCCTGAGGAACTGGCTCCAATGGTTCCTCAAGTCCTGACTGGTCCCTCTCCACCAGCAAACGGACCATCAAGGCCCAACGAAAAACCACCTGCCCACGGCATCGCACGGCTCTCCCGCGTCTATCTTCGATCGCGTGCTCGCACCGTGGTGCGTTGGTGGTTCCAGGCTCATCCGAGAGTGAACGAACAGCTTCCAAATGCGGCGAGCAATCTTTTGTCTATGGGCGAAGCTGGGGCTGAGAAGACCGAAGCTGAAAGGGTTCGGAAATGAAGACTCGTTGGGGTTGAAGCGCGGGCACCCTCCTGGTAAACAGATGAAGGTCATGTGGCATGTTTCTCTTTCATTACCAGATGTGGGCTCGCAAACAGTAGCAGGAAACCTGTGGGAATGGGTTGTCCAAAGCATTCTACCAGAAGGTGCGACAAAACTGCGTGATCTCTAGGTGTCGGGGTCCATCTGGTGAGTGGGGTCTTCATTCGTGGTGTTGGATCGAACTTTTCAGGCACAGTCCGATGGACCACAGTGGTGTTGGAATGGACCCCCCGGACCCTTGAAGATTGGAGCTCAATTGTGGCGACGTGTGGTTCTTTGCTTGCTTCTCCGGCAGCTGATAAGGGGAGTGTAGCCGCAGTATGGGTCTAAGTTTGAAATGCATATGTATTCCCAGTGAAGCCGGGACATGGACAGATTACATCATGACTGGAGTTATGCAGAGTTTGGAGGTCTCAACTTGTAGCCTTTGCTTGTTGGGGAAACGTCTGAGCCGAAATGGCCATCGTGCCCTACTTTGCTCCGGGAGATCATATCCGCCTTAATTGTGGAGCCTTCGATCACCACGCGATCTTCTGCAACTGGGAGCAGCGAATCGCATCCTCAGCCACCGTGATTCATCATCGAGGGAAACAACAAGGTGGCTGCATCGACAAGGAGACCCAGAATGTCGCGGGCTACACCCTCGTCACGCGCCCAGTAAATCCCAACGTTGTGTTGAGACGTGCCCACAGTCGCATTGGTGAGCGCGGCTACAACTTGGTCTTCAAGAATTGTGAAGATGTTGCATTGTGGTGTATCTCGGGAGATGGCTCGTCCTACCAGATTGCTCGACACACTTCCCGTTGCGGGAAACACTTGATGGAAGGGGCCCCTGCTGCCTGCAGACAGCTTCTTGGCGCTGAGCTGAGCATTTCAGCACGATCAATGATGAGACGTACAGGGGTTGCACTCGTTGCAACCGAGCTGGCTTGGGAGGCACTGAGAAGCATTCGCGATTGGATGAATGGTGATATTTCCGGGGAGCGTTGTGTGAAGGGCATCGTCGATGCTTGTGGAGCAGTTGGCGGAGGGCTTGCGGGAGGCTTTTATGGTGCCATTGGCGGTCCCATCGGAGTCATTGTTGGCACAGTTGTGGGAGGAGCTTTGGGCCAGCATCTAGCGTCCAGCTTGACTCAGACTCTGACTAGCACTTTTTTTGATTTGCCCAAACATGTGGCGGTTGAGAATGCATATCGCCTCTTGGGTATCAATCAGCATGCAAGCAACGAGGACGTGAATCGGGCCTACCGGCAGAAGGCCTTGCATGTGCACCCTGACAGGCCTGGTGGAAGTCATGAGGCCTTCGTGCAACTACAGAATGCTCTTGAGATCATTCGTGCAGAGCGAGATGGCCTGTGAAGATGGCGCAATCGACACACCAAAAACAAATGGATTGCAATCGACCAGTGGAGGGAGCCACTAAAGTCACTAAAGTTGAGAGGAAGCAGCTTGAGCGTATGACCGGTGTCAGTTATCATCCTGGAAAAAGGCTCGACCGAAAGTGTCAGTGTCGGTTCTTTGTGGGCTACAGTAGGTGACCCAGAATGAGCCGGGAGTCCATAGAAGCCTTTTTCGCTTTGGTTTTCTGGTCGGATGGCAAAAGCACCCCTTCTCCAAAGTTTCAACATGTGCAAGGTAAGATGTTCCTCCAATCTCTTGCTTTGGAGCTTGATGTAGTTTCATTTCCACCGTCACTGGAATGCACCAATGACCAACATTTGTGTCATTTGCAGCTAACACAAGTCTGCTACCAGGTGACCAGCACCAACTCCAAACGCAGATCTCAGGGAAAACAAACACCAACAGCAAAAGAAACAGAAACCTTCCCGAAAACCAAATCCTACCCGTTCTCGCAGACGTCCCAACTCAGGTCCACGTTGACAGTTGAGGAGCTGGGTTTGTGTTGAGAAACCCACTGAGCCGCTTCCGTTTGAATCCACCTGTTATTTTCAACAAGAACTTGCGCCTCCTTGCTCCTAGTAGCGATGCCCTTTGCTCCTAGTAGCGTCCTTGCTTCTAGTAGCGATGCCAGGAGCCCCTAGTAGCGTCCGAACGCTCCTAGTAGCGATGCCCTTTCCTCCTAGTAGCGTCTTTGCTCCTAGTATTGTCCGAATCCGTCCAGCTGTGGGTTCTCCATCCGTCCTCGACCGACGGGGAGACACGCCGAGGACGGCCTCCACGGGCGTCGCCCTGGAGTCCACCGTGGTCACGGCAGAGGGCGGCCTCGAGGCTTCGGAGAGAGGGTTTCTTCGGTGTTGGAGCCTGGGATGGAGCGTTTTGCTGTGGAATGTTTTTGTAGACACTCCTTGGTTATGGTAGTATTAGTACTCTTTGAGTTTGCCCAACGTTCGGTCTGGTGGTAGCGCATGGAAATGGGAAATGACGCTTTGAATACAATCGTTAAATTCCAGAAGTGAGATACCAGCAACAAGTTCTGGGGCCCATCGGATTATATATGGAGCAGCTGTACTTTCATTGACCCGGCGTACAATTCATGGCAGCCAGATTGGCCATGATAATGGGCAGCCTCCAGTGTACCGTCCAATAGCCATCAATTGCCATCATGTCCAAAGTTTCTTCGTTCGGTTGCAGGCCATTGCTACTAGGAGCAAGGACGCTACTAGGGGCTCCTGGCCATACTGCTAGGAGCCATGCAGAAGCTACTAGGAACAAAGGGCATCGCTACTAGGAGCCTTCGGACGCTACTAGGCAGGAGGCCATTGAATTGGCGAACTGAACTTCGACCCGTTTACCGTGCCCCACCAGGCCACCATGGCCACCGTGCCGCCGCGGCGCCCCCTGAAGCGAGCGCCCATGCTCCTGCAGGTGTGGGGTAATTATGACAAATGTCGGGAGAAAGCTCAGGTTAGATGAAGGGTCACACAAACTCACACAGGTTCAGCAAGACTTTCACCTTGTTGAATTCAAGAAAGATGTGCGGTTATGACAGTCATGACAATACACACCTGAAAAATCCACGGCAAGTTGCATGGGATTGGTGTTCGCCATGTGTGAGGGGCTATCCATACATAACCTACAGGACTTCCTAGACAGGTCGAAAAGCAGAGCTGTCTTCGGGTGGATAGGCTTTCGGTTTAGATGTGAGGCAGTTCCATTGCCCTCCTCTGCCTGCCTTGCTTCTCTCGGGTGGTTGCTCGAGATATGTACCCCAGACCACCAACCGCACAACCGTTCAACCAACGGTGATGAACCAAAACACCTTTGGCAATGAACCACACGGCCACACGGGCACAGGGCTAGGAAGAGCTCTCTCACTGCGGCCAAGGCCAAGGCCTCTTTACAGCGGCCTGCTGAGGCGAACGGGTGGGGAAAGCTTTGCAAGCACCGGTCACCCTTAGATACCAACCTGTTCGCTTATCCCCCATTTGCTGTTTCTTAGCGCTTGTATGATTGGATCAAGCACTTGGGAAGCATACAGTCATACAGGTCTGTGATTGACAGGAAGTTTGGGGGACTCATCATGCTTGGCCAGACTGGAGACACCCAGAAACTCTGTTCGAACCGCTTTGACCAGCTTCTCCTTGTTTCCCGTTGGTGTCGCGTCGCCGTTGCAGGCGGACCGCGCAGCGGACCGCGCCCCGCACTCTGCGCCACTCTCCTTCCTCCAAGAGGACGAGAGATCCTCGGCGAAGGTGGAGGAGATCCTGACCGAGGCGATCCATCCGGCCACGGATCGGCCATGGCCAGAGCCGGTCCCACTGGTGTTTGTTGAGTCCCATTTTGACCACGAACCAAATACAAGCCCGATGGAAAGCGAGGCATTTCTGAACCTATCAAATACAAGTCTCCCAATTTCTATGACAGCCGCCCGCCATCTCATCCGTCACCCGGTTCGATGGCGAAGAAGTCTCAGTTTGGCAGGTCATGGCACCGCCTATCTTACCACTGCCCAAAGTGAAGAGCCTCCCACAAGCCCTAGCCTCGACCGGTGGGGTAGGGTGGTTTGGGCGACAGACAGGCTTCGGTGTGTGGGGTGCGGACTGGAGAATGCCAAAAGTGATGAGGTTCTTCACGGAAGTGGAGGGAATGTGACCGACATCAGAGGCTTTTGGCAGTGATTCAGTTTGGGAAGGTTCATTCACTCCAGCTGAACTGGGCCGACCCTTGGTGTTGGAGTTTGGGGTAATTGAGCAGGCGCGTGTTGCATGGCCTGTGTGCTTAATCGCTCAGATCACTAAATCCCAAGATGGTGTTTTGATTTCAATGTTGATGTTCATTCGTTGTGATAGTTCACTGGACGAATCTGGAGGTAGTGTTTGTGGGCATAATGCCTCAAGGAAAAGGAACTGATGCCCTCCCTGTCTTTGTGATCTATGGAGTGCAGACATGATAATTGGAAAGTGAGCATCAGCCTGTCTAAACGAGTTTTCTAGGTATAGGGATTTGACTCGCGCGATGTTTGGTTTCCACACAAGAGCCATGCTGCTTAGGCATCATCAGCGTCGTCGATTGACTTCCAGGTGATGTCAATGCTGGGCGTGGCTTTCGTGGTGGGACTTGCACCTTGGATTGGCTAACTTTGACCAGACTTTCAGCCAACAACTTGGAGTATGCTACTAGTAGCCCCTGGCCTTACTACTAGTAACAAGGGCATCGCTACTAGGAGCGAAGAGCATCGCTACTAGGAGCAAGGACGCTACTAGTAGCTCCTGGCATCGCTACTAGTAACAAGTATGACTTTAAGTCTTAGTTGAGCTATGAGTTGGACACTTCGTCGGCTGATGGAGTTCGGTTTGCCTTCATTGGCTGGGTCATTCCTTTGCCGTCACTTCAACTGGGCGTCAGTCGCTCACGACTCAGCAACTGCACCCGTAGTCAGGAAGGGATGGCACTTGTTAATGGGCAAGTTGACAGTGCCCGAAAACCGATATAAGTTGATATAAGTAAGATTGAAAAGCGTTGCTGGTATTGACAAGACTGTGCCAAGCGTTTGGCAAGTCTATTCCTGGCAAGAAAGTAATGTTGTAGACTCGATGGAGTCTGAGCATGATGTTGGTCCTGCGGTGGATGATGCTGAATGTAAACTACCTTCTGAGTCTTTACAAGATGTTTGTATCCATATAGATTTAAAGCACATAGTCAATCCCAAACCAGCATCAGTATTTGCACGTTGCTTTAGTTCCTCTTTAGTCAACACGAACGTAAGTGGCCGAGGCACTAACAATGAACTCATACCCTATGGTCAAGTTTCCCTAAAGATCTAGAAACCAAATCACTAGTGCGAGTGCTATCTTGCGTCCAGTAGGCAGTAGCTTTAGTAGCTAGGAGCGCTACTCCCTTACCTAATTGAGTAGGCCCCTACTTAATTAAGTAGGGGCGGCTAAAATAAAGCACCTAAATAAACTCATATAAAACCCTAGGTTCCAGAGTGCCTTCAATATCGAACTGCTTTGTGATCGGCTACTGATCATCACTGTGAATTCTATTCATTTTGTTGGTCTAAAACAGCTGAACTGGTCGCCAGCCAAGGCGGCAGTTTGCACGCTGTACAAGCGGCCCTCAGATCGTCTCACGCAGGAGGCCGGTGAGTGAGGATGTCAATTTGAGAATGCAGAACGTGTTGGCGCCCTCACCTTTTCCTTCTCTTTTGCATCCTAGATAGCATCAGGAGGCCATCTCTACTAGGTTGGAGGCCATCTCTATTTCAATCATTTGATGTGCATTCCACCACGCTCGTCAGGTGGAGAACCTCCCTGTGCTTTTGGGCTCTGACCTGACAAACTGGCTTCTTGGCCACGCGAAAGCGTGACTTCACAGTGAAGTCCAACGGGTTTGTAACTCCAACGGTTCACCACTCCAATGTCAATCCAATGTCAAAGCATAGTGAACCGTGGTGCTTCGCCATCCGTTCCCGGTCATTTGGCCTCAGCCGCTGAGGTCGGAGACTGGATTAGTGAGTAGCTTGGCAGAGAACTTCCTAAGGGATCATGGCGGGATAGATCGGAGAGTGAGGTGCTTTTTTGTTGCATCTCAGAGTCTGGAGTTGTGATGTTGCTCTTTTCCCCAAGTCAGTACAAAGAAGATGTGATGTCCAAGTCCATCCAATCAAGCATCTGCTGTTTAAAAAAGAAAAGTGCAAAAAAGGCATGCTGGTTTCATCTCAACAAAAAAAAACTCCCTGCCACTCTTGTTGGAAGGCCTTCAAAACGAAAAAAACTCTGCGGGTTTCCTCCACGCCGCCGCACCGCTGAGGATTGGAAGGACATATCGTCTTGGAGGGTCCTCCCTTGACGGCGCCTTTCTCAGAGAAGAAATGCGTCGGGGCGACCCAGTGGAAGCAGAGGCGGCTGGCATGTTGGAGCACCAAGAAGTAGATCCAAAGGAAAACATGGTTGTAATCTATCACTAAACAGAGCTGGGATTTTGACAAGTGATGAGGCCTTGCCCAACAGATGAGGTGCCCAACAGATATTCCATGATATTCCTTTGTTTGTGGTTGCTTTCAGAAGATGGATCAAGATATTCAGCTGCTCACAGAGTTTGAACTTTCAAGCACGGATTACAAAGCTGGAACCGAGCAGCCATGCAGCAACCGGGCTAACTTTAGCCCGTGCGCAAATAAAGGCTTGATGTGATGCATACCATCGAAGCCAACATCATCGTCAAAGGAAGTTGTTGGGATCTTTCATCACACGCTTTGACTCATGCAAGGACGGTCTTCCCTCATTTCATCGAAGCCATTCATAGTAACAAGAAGCTAGTAGAAACAAGTGCCTTACTAGTAGTAACAGGTGCCTTACTAGTAGGAGCAAGAACGCTACTAGTAACAAGTGCATCGCTTCTAAGGAAACCCCCATGCATCTCAACCCTGGTCACACGTGTCAAACCACGTGTCACACCTCCACAGGGTCTCTCTTGGATGCGCCGCCCTCTTCCGCCTCCGCCTCTGCCTCCGAGGTGGTCTACAGTGCTTCGGTGTCCCACCCGCGGCACGACGCGATCCGGAACCCGCCGGTGGCCTTCGCCTCGCAGCGCACCTCCTTCAGCCTGGAGCTGGAGGATGCACCCGAGGTCAAGGTCGTCATCAACGGCCGGGAACGCCCAGTGGGAGCGTCCCATCGCTCCGTTCGTAGCGATGCCAGGAGCCCCTAGTAGCTTCTTGTTACTAGTAGCGATGCCCTTTGCTCCTAGTAGCGTCCTCTTGCTCCTAGTAGCAAGGCCAAGAGCCCCTACTGGCGTCCTTGCTCCTAGATGGGAGACATGGTGGTTGGTCTTGCAAGCGGTGGCGGTTCAAGTGATGATAGCGAAGCCACCCCGGAAGAAGATGATGAAGAGGAGGAGGAGGAAAAGGAGGAGGAAAATCACAAGAAATGTTAATGGTTTGTGGTTGTTCTGTGAACACTCTTCATGAAGGGGTTCCCTTTGAATGTTGATTGTCATGCATCGATGTCATTGGTTGCCCGCATGTTTCGGGATGGAGACATGACCGACCTTCCTCATGGTGAAGACCTTGGGAATTCAACGTGTTCCACCAAAAACCGAGTCATTTTGGAGGTGCATCCCGCTTTGTCCAATCACGTTGGCTTCCCTTCCAGTAGGGTTTTGTCCTTCCTGAACTGGCGAGATGCTCGACCCGCCTGTAGACATGTCTCCATCGAATCCTTCCAAGGCGACGTGTCCCTCTTCAGCATGCAGACGCTTGGTGCAACGATCGGTTGAGACATCCGTTTGTCCACTCGCTTTCAGAGCAGATCTAGAGGTCGAGCTTGGTCCAGCCTTCGTGCGTGAGGCGACGCTTGTGCTAGGCTGCGCTTGCTAGGCTGCGTTTTGTGTGTTGGTTTCTACGGTCACGAGGTTGTGCTAGGCTGCAAAGAGAAGGTCATATCATCCGATTGGATGCAAAAATGCGGCATCGACGACATCCCTGTTGGATGCGACCTTTAGAGATTGGGTGCAAGATACTTTTCCTAAAGAAGAATGTTTCTCTGATAATGACCTTGCATATCCTTGTATTCATTGTTCAAGGGCATACCATACCATGTCATTATTGATTGTTCAAGGGCATGGGTGAATCCAAACGCACATGACATCTATCACCAAACAGTGACATAGACTAAAGCCATCCACCACTAGGGCCACGCTTCTCGTTGTTCGCTTCGGCGCTTCGAGGACGGGGCAGGAGGAGTGGCAACAGGCCTTCACCGAAGCCTCCAAAGGCTGGTGCAGCTTCGTGTTGACGCACTTGGCGCCTCGTCAGCGAGCAAAATGCGAGCAGGGCAACGCCCAAGAGCAGAAGGGGTGGAGGTCAGAAAAACGTGTGTCTTTCGGAATCACCCTTGGTCGACAGCCACCAGTTTACCTCATTTGAAGGGAGCCCAGAATACTGTCGCTTCTAAGTAGAGGTGACGATGCTATTTGTTCCTTCTTGAACACCAACTTAGTAGCAATGGCCTCCCACCTAGGGATGGTCTTGTGCTATTTCTTCCTGCTTCCCCCTCATTAAATGCTGATGCTTTTCAGTTTGCTCATTCCTGACAGGTACCTGTTCGAATGCGGAAGGATCAAGCGAACTCACAGATTCTTCAGAGTCCCCCACCGAGCTCTCTTGAAGCAGTCGAAGAAAACTCGAAGTCTGACGGGTTTTCAGCCTGGAATCTGAGGGAAACCTAATAGCGATGGCCTCCATGAAATCTGAGGTGTCTTCTACGGATCACTTCCAGCCACTTGTTCTGGAGGGTTGGGCTGGGTCAGGCACTTGCCAGACGATCCAAGGGAAGCGGATCGAGTTTTTCTCGTTGTGACGCTTTTGAGATCTTGTAGTTTGTATTTTTGACGCGGTGCATTGGGAGGTTGCAGTTTTTGTTATTGGTTTTGTGATGTGTTCGTTCTGTTGTGTATGTTTGTTTCATCCGTGAATCCATTGTTAAAACACAATGTCCAAAACCTGCAGGTCTAAAGCGCCCTTGTTTGTGGCATGACTTTTCCTAATTTTGTAATGATCCCCCACAGACACTGGGCGTGACTATCGGGAGCGAGAAAGCCTTCTTGTTTCTACAGAGCCTCCTTCTGTAGCAAGATGCTGTAAAGTCAAGTCTACATCCAAAAAACAAGCCCAGTAGAATCTCAGTAGAAATCGGGTCTACTTGGGAAATCAGCCCCCGAAACAAGTAACAAGTGCATCACTACTAGTAGCAAGGGTATTGTACTATGAAATTAGTACTAAGAAGCTACTAGTAACAAAGGGCATCATTTTCTTCACAACGCTCTCACCGCTCGCTGCGCGCTTCGCGTGGAGGAAGTGCTTGGACCTGGGCTCCGACGGCGTGTCCCTGGACTTCCGCGAGTCCGCGCTGCTCGTGGGCAGCCACGTGACCTGCGTGGGGCAGGCGGGCCCCCCGCCAAGCACCAAGTCCCAAGCGAGTGAGGTGGAGCAAGGTTCTACTGGGAAGGTCACTAGTCGAGAGGTGTCTCTCCATGTTTTCTCTTTTGGTGAAAGAGGGTGGTGATTTCCAGGGCTGCTAACCTGCCAGGTGGTGAAAGCTGCAGATGGTCGCACCTTGAAGCAACACCTGCAGGGATTGGATGACCGGGGCATTTGAAGAAGATTCACAGATTCACAGAAGAAATCCATGTGTAGATGAGAAGAAGATGGCATAAAAGAAGTGAAGTGATAGGCAAAGAAGTGTCACATGCCATGGGATTGATTCGTCACTCAAACTGATGAATCATGGTGTATCAAGCACTCCTTAAGTAGTCAAGTGTCCTGCAAAACTACTAGTAGCAAGAAGCTACTAGCAGGGATGCACTTGTTACTAGTAGCATCTTGTTCCTAGTAGTAAGGCCAGGAGCCCCTAGTAGCGTCCTTGCTCCTAGCAGCGATGCCAGGAGCCCCTAGTAGCTTCTTGTTCCTAGTAGCGGGGGGCGGATTGGGCAAGGAATTTTCGCAGCCCAGCTGCCGCTTCTTTCGTCCGCCCCAAGGATGGACGCTGTGTCCGGGGAAGCGGAGAGTCGGGGAGCTGATCAGAGACGTCGTGTCGAGTTGGGAGGTGGGACCTAAGAGAGAGAGAGAGAGAAAGAGAAAGTGAGTCAGTTTTGGTAACTTTATGTTCGCTGGCTTGATCTGTCAGACACTGATCAGATCGATTCAAATTCTGCAAGCACTTGTCACGTGACAAGCGCTTGACAAGTGTTGGCAGCATGAAAAAATGATCAGATCGAATTGTGCTAAGGCCCTCATTGCAGACAGCAACTTTTCAGGATGGGGCCTAGCCATGAAGATCCATCAAGCAACTTCTAGGTACTTTGGGAGTTCCTTTTGTGACCTGCTTGTTTTCAGCCAACATCGGAGCCAACAAAATTCTGATATACACTTTCAGGAGGAGCCCTTTATGACTAGAAGTGAGAGTTCACGAAGAAGTGCAGGAGAAGGGGCAGACAAACTTTCCAGAGCTGGGCACCAGCGAAAAAGAAGAAGTCAGTCGTTTGGTATTTGCTCAACGTCTTGGATGCGCCGCACCAAAACCGAGGGATAAATTGGCCAAACCTCAGGAAAAGGTTGGGATATGTTGGCATTGGGATCATTTTATGCTACATGGAAACGAAGATATCCACATGGGAACTTACAAAGCACCCCGTTGGAAATTGCACTTGGGACCGTTGAAGAAAACCCCTTCATGTGGATCATCGTAATACTGCTGAGGCCAGCTGGGGCCTCAAGAGAAAGGATCCCCTGGCAGGCCGGAGTCGACGATGGAAACGGTTTTTTTTGGGCAGTCGTTTGCAGTCAGCCTGGCCTGTGTATGATGAGTATTCCTTGCTGCCATTGCAGCAGACTTCAGTTTTGGGGGGGAGACAGGACACCAGAGCAAGTGTGATGCATTCTTCCAGAAGTCTGCCCTCGACACCCTCTTCTGTCCTTACTCGTCCCTGCCACGACTTGTGGAAAAGTGCAGCTTGAATAAACAAAGACTTGTGATGACTTGTGAATCGAAATGAAACTGCAGGCTTTGACCATGCTCGGCCATGCCCTCATCACTTGGCCCTCTCAGCTGTTCCAATCTCTCCAGGCCAAGTCTTCATCACCGACCATCCGGATCTCCACGCATGACGGGCGCTCTTTTCGAGCAGCTTTGCTCAGCGGAAAAGCGGATCCGATTTCGGTGAAGCCCAGACTTTGTGCTGCATCGGGGATGATCCTCAACCTACTAGTGGATAACAGATGTTTCCTCGTATTTTGAGATGCACTCATGTGGTTGCGCTCGTCATTGGTGCTATCAGGTTGGAGATTCGCAAGGTGTTTTCAGGATTTTAGATGGGCAGTCAGAAGAGGTCGAATGCCAACAAGGCCTTGATAGTGTAGAAGATTGGCAGCGCAAGACCCTCAGGCATACCAAGGACATCTAAGTTTAAAGGTGAAGCACTTTCGGGTCTTGCCCTACAGCTGCTCTTAAAACACTGAAAATGGCCCACTGAAATCTTCTTTGGATAGAAAATCGAAGCGACATGTTGCATCGCCAAATCTGCCACGTGCCAAGTCCTATTCCACATGTGCCGCGCTGCATTCGCCGCTCTGCAGAAGTTTTATCTCTAGGGCGGACCAATGTATCTTCAGGTCACCACATGTCGCCACAGCAGCAGAACAGCAGACAGACCAGTGCCCTTCTGGAAGAAAGGCTCTGACTTCGGAAAGGACAGACACCGACAGAATTTCTAGAGCTGACTTTGTTGACTTCAAGTTCAGGTGGCTGGGATAAAAAAGTAAAAAAAAACATGAAAGAACCATCAAAATTGACATTGCAACGTGCAGCTGAAGCAATTGAAGTCCCACTGGGCAGATGTTGTACTCTTGCAGATAGAGATGTGCAGCGAAGCTGCCGCGTCGAAGGAGAGCGCTTTAGCATCGTGGGGGACATGTAGCGGGGAATGGCAAGTTCTGGACCTTCACAGTGCATCCAATCTGCATCCGTTTTCACATCTGATGGTTCAATGATTAGATTGATGATGATTGAAATCAGGGGATTGGATGCACTTAGACCAACAACCATCCAATCCAATCCACTTGATCGACCAGTTCGGAAATCACCAACGACCACTGTGGATTCCGATGAAGCGATCGTCGTCCGTTCTGGGTCGATCCATGAAGCTGGTCGATCCCAGACCTGAGACCTCTTAGGGATAGCCGGGATAGCCCTCTTTGATGTCACAGCATGTAAAGATCAGAAGATCAGAAGATCTATGAAGATCTTGGAAACTGGCAGTTTAGCTCCAAACACCTCCAAGAGGCAAGTCTTTGGCTTGCGTTTGTGCGTCCAAAGAAGTGTTTGACTCCCTCAGTTTCTGCTGTGATGACAAAGAAAAGCCGTCAAGGTCGATCCTGAAACAGCGGCTTGGTGGTTCTTGTGTTCAGTTTTGCTGTGTTGTTCTCGTGCGGAGATTCATCCTGAACAGGAGTGAAGGGTTTCCCAAAAATGACTCGGCCAGCTATGTCGGGACGTCCGGTCTCGCCCGTTCACGGTGCGAAGAAGCTTCTCAGCTTTTTGCGGCCTGCGCTCAGGATGCAGGAGGACAACAATCTTTGCAGATACTTTGAGGTGCCAGCAAAGTTCTTTACTACTTTTGCCATCGCTCTTAGGTTGGAGGCCATCGCTCTTAGGTGGAGGCATCACTCTTAGGTGGAGGCCATTGCTAAAAGCGGTTGGCGAAGTTCTAGATCTATCACCGATGACACAGGAAGAAATTTGGAATTGTGCTTGCTGCTTGCTGATGCCCTACCTCAACACATCTTGAACATGGCCTTTCTTGGACATGGACATTCAAAAGAGCGATTGTTCCAACATCCATTAGGCGTAAGCTTGGGCTAATTGTTCATACTCTTTTTGGCATGAGATGTTTCTTGTAAGGCCAAGTACTATGAAGGCCACTTCTTTGAACGGGGCGATTATGCGACTTGGCCAGTGGTCGAAGAGCTACCACAGGGATCCACAATGTGTATATTGATCGGATATTGATTAGCAGAACAATGGAACATGTGGTTGAGAGTTGGATGGAAGGACATCATTTGTTTCGTGGTTTCCAGTAACGACGTTGTTTGTTGGGATTGCAAGATCGCTATGAGTGTTGTGATGTGTTGTAGCTCCAACTGCTTGATGCTGGCTCTCGGAGAACCACCCCTTCCTACAGAAAGACGTTGCACGTGAAAGCCAGCGGAGCCAAGGACATTCCGTGAAGAGGATAATGGGCTAATACCGTACCCAGAAAAACTGCAGTATGACCCATGGTAGGGTCCCCTATGGTTCCCTGTATGTGTTTGCTTCTGGAAGGACTGTGTTCACCAGTTCGAGATCCTTCCCTCGCAAGCCTTCCTTTTCGCTCAGGATTTCCTACCGGAGGAGTGGTGTTGGCACCACAAGCGCACCAAGATCAAGGCCTTTCCCTCTCCTTTTTGGTGTTTTTGATAAAGGGCAGAACACCACTGGCATCGCGATGCGAAGAGAGCTTCGTTCCGGAAAAGACGTCGTTGGAGACTCTCGTCGACGTCTTCAGGACCCGCGCGGCGCGACCCGCAGGTCTGGGCCGATGCCTTGGACTTCTCCTTGGGCCGTCCGGTGAAGGTCGTCTTTCACTACACCGATGCCCCTCGGGCGTGTTTTTGCAACGGAGTGGGTGTTGGGAGGTGAAAGGGCCATGGGTTGGGTGTTTGGAGGAGTGGGCGCAACTGGGCGGGGAGGTGTTCCACTGGGAGTTGATGATTTTCTGTGGATGATCGGGGTGGTTGCAGGTGTTTCAGCAGGAATCCTCTTGCGTCTCTTTTTGTGCATCTTCCACTCGGAGGGTGGGTGACTTCAGTAAGTTTGCTACTAGTAGCTTCTTGTTCCTAGTAGCAAGGCCAGGAGCCCCCAGTAGCTTCTTGCTCCTAGTAGCGATGCCGTTTGACCTTCTGCACAGCGAATTCACCCCCCCGCTCGCTCGAGGAGTTGGCCTTCCGTCGCATCATCGCCGGAGGGAGCGACCCCTCAGAGGCTTGGGCCAGGTGCTCAATGCCGACCGGTGGGGCCGGTTGATGTGCTTTGGAAAAGAGAGATGTGCAAAAGGGAGATGCCATGCTTGGAGGCTTGGAGGTAGGATGAGGTAACTGATGAGGTAGGATGCCGGAAATCATGTGCTTCTTCGATGTGTTTGGATCCTTAGAATCATTCGACGCCCGAAAGGAGTTGTGACCTGAGGCCTCCTTAGTCCAGAGCGGTGGTGCCCAAGGCGCGGGACATCCGTCGAAAGCCACTGGGAGAGAAGCGCCGGATGGGTGGAAAAAATGAAAGGATGGACATGGATGAGTTATATAATTGATGTCCATTTGTGAGTTATGTGAATGTGTGTGTGTTTTTTTCCATGGTGTGTTTTGTTACCTGCTTGGTTCTGGAGCCCTGGAGCTGATAGTTGCTGTCAGTGGCGTCGGCCAGGCATCTACACCGTCCCTAAGCCACCGGACGAGTGGCAGGCCATGCTATGCTTTGGGGAGAGGGACGTTCATCTTGCAGGGCTGGATGACCTAAAAGGCTGAGATCGGAACAAGTAGCTGGATGGTTTTGTGCACGTATCAAAGTAGAGATGGCCTTGTTCATGTTGTGTCTTTCTGCTTTTTCGGTGTCATGTACATGTCCAGCAAAACAAACATCAGACCCTGACAGTAAGCTCTCCATCAGCTGGGGGGTACCGCAAGATCGGTGTTTCGGAGAGGACAAGGAGGAGCTGCTGGAGAACAACTACCGGCAGATGATGAAGCGGGACCGTGAGGATCCCGAGAAGGGCGAGGATTACATCGCCAAGGCCGCAGACGTGCCCGCGGGTGTTTCCGGAGCGAGGAGCCGGAGCGAGGAGCCGCGGCGAGAACGAGCGACGTCGTAGAGTTCGTTGAGTTCGATATCGTGGGTCCTTGGATTGCCTTCAACCAAATAGCAATGGCCTCCAACCTGCCTCCAACCTAAGATGTTCTCTTTTTGAGGCAAGGCCATTAAGGCCATTGGAGATGTGAATAGGATGTTCACAGCAATTCACCGCCACGGACTCTGATTTGGGGGGGAAAGTGTGTTGTGTTTTCCAGTCCGACAAGTGTGCATTGTATGATTATTATTCTTAAGCTGATGGGAATGCTGAAGTGCACAGACGTCCTTGGCGTAGGTGTACCCTTTGAAAGTGGCCTACTGCGTACCAATCCTCCTTCACAAGGACGAGAAGTGCCTTGGCGCAGAGGTTCACGATATGCCTTGCAGATGGCTTGCTAAGCAAAAGTTAAGCACCTTCAGGAAATATCGTGGTTCAGGGCAAGGATAGTTTTCACAGCCAGTTTCCTATTGTCTATAAGAAGGAAAAGGCTGTATTGAAACTGTACTCCTCTGTACCGCTGCTGTCAAATTGGGTTGGAAACTGAAGGAAGGTCTTGGAGTTCATGACCCTTGTCTACGAACAAGCATGCTATTTGTAGCCTGTTTGGCGGACTAACAAGAAGCCTAAGCCCTTGGAAAAGGTCAGTCAGTTTGCCACTCAACTGCCAGTCTGCCAGTATCTTAGGAACCATCATCTTAAGTGAGGTCAAAAACACAAAATTTGTATGGCAGAACAACGAAGGAACGCGCTTCCGCGGTCCTTGGGTCTTGGCCACCTCGAACGCCAGGTGCGTGACTCCTCCAGAGCCGCAGGCGGGGAGACTTGGAAGACGAAGAAGATTGCGACGTTTTTGAGCATGTCGCAGCATATCCATGTTCTGTGGAAGAATGATCCTCTTAATTCAGTGCTAGTGGCTCGAAGCAATGTGATCCAACTTCGATGTCCCTGGATGTCCTGGCTCAAGCAGTTTCGGTTTCAGGAACGATGTCTCCAACAGTTTCTGTTTTTCCCAACCGTTCAAACATGAGGCCCGCAAGGCGCCAGTGAGGAGAATGTGGGAGAAGGGAGAAGGGAAGAATGGTGGCGCCACGAGGAAAGTGTTTGGTATGTAAACGAAGTAACCTTATAAGATGGGTTTCTATGTGTATGTGGCTGATCTTCACAAGCAGGTAGGAACAGCATGTTGAGTTTGGCAGCTTCTTACGTAAGAATCCAAAAAGAACCAACTCATGTCTCTCCACCACAAGGTCCTTTGTTTTGTGTCTCCACCTCGTGGTTGTTTTGCACTCG